CGTTCCCGCCTCACAGCCAGAAGGAGGCGCAAAGCACCAGGTCCCGGAGCCGAACTCAGGCGCGAGCAACCTGATTCTAGGCCACGTAAAACAATCAGCTGCTCTCTCTGCGGTCCTTTCTGTACTGAGCACCCCTCGAGTCACTCTGTACTCCAGGGGGCAGGGCGCTGGGGTGCAGCACACTCAGTGCTCTGTGCTGTCCGACACCGGGAGCCCCTCAACGCCAGGTGTGACGCGGGGTCACACGATACGCACGCACCACCGACAGCATTCGCACAGTGCGGGACCCGGGGAGCTTGACGCTGAGCGAAAGAAGCCAATCAGAGAAAGACAAGAACCACACGATCCCACCTATCTGTGGAACATCGTGAACAAAATCAGGTGATGAGCAAAGCAGACCCAGAGACATAGAAGTAGGGTTCAGACTGACAAACCTGGGGGGATAAACCGAAGAACTTATGCACATAAGCATAACCAATGGACACAGACAACAATGCTGCAGGTGGGGCAGGATCGGGAGGAGGGTGTCATGGGGGGAAAAAGGAGAAACATGTGTAACAACAATAAATTAATTAAATTAAAAAAAAGAAATACAAAAGAAGAGGTATTTGCTGTGTTTTACAGAATTTTTTTCTCTGGAATACACGAAACTAATGCTATTACAATTGTGTCTAAGATAATTTGTTAATGTTGTTTTAAGCAGTTTAGGGACGATAAAAACCACAAGGCACGCAAGGTCAACCGGACACGCAAAGTCAACCGGACACGCAAATCAACCGGACATGCAAGGTCAACTGGACACGCAAAGCCTCGCCTGACAAAAGCACGTGGACAGGTGGACTTGTGCTCAGTGAGCTCCGTCAGCCGGTGTTCATGTCACGTGTACCTGGATTTTATAACAGAAGCAACCTTTTCACAAAGTGGATTCATCTCATGGACCCTAACATTGAAAATACAACTACGTGTTTCCTCGGAAGTTGTCTTTCTTCTTTATTATTGCGAGTCCCCCCGTTTTCCCCCCACTGCCCCCTCCACCCAGCTCTGCCCTGCCCCATCTTCCTGCACCCTGTGACTGTGCCGTGGGTGATGGTATATGCAGGTACGGACTCAGCGTCCACCTCTGGGGTTTCTGTCCAGAGATGCCCTGAAGTCCGTCGTGAACACCCTCTGGTGTCCCGGGAAGGAATCTGAACCCGATCCTAGGGGCCCTGACACTCCACCTGCCAGCACCCTGGTCCAGCAGGAAGGGGGTTCGCGACAAGAGAATGGGCACAGCAGTGTGCTGGGGACGCGGCTGTGTGGTGGACAGTGCGCCGCGCTGATCCTTGGAGAGGCCCCGTCACAAGCTAGAGATGCCACAGGGGACACCTGCTTCTTGCCGCTTACCTGATCCACCTCTTTGAGCACAGAATTGTTTCCCCACAAAACACCTACAGATGAGCAGAACCCACGTTCCCCCAGCACAACCTGGAGGCTGACACAGGAAGCCTGGCCGGTGCTGGCCCCACCCTCCTCCCTGGCTACTCTGCTGCCTGCCAATGGTCTGGTCTAGTCGGAAGGGCTACGTGTGTGCCTCAGAGGACGAGCTTGTACCCCACGCACTCATAATGCAGATGCGGGAAAAGAGGGTGCCATGGAGCAAGGGGCACCAACAGCCTTGCCAGCTCTGCTTCCTCCCTCCTCAGTACCCGCCTTGCCCTGGGCCCATTGGGCCACAGAGCAGAGCTCCCCCGCTGAGGAAACACAGGCTGCGTGTTCTTCTGCCCCACTTGTGAAGCATCTGAAACCATGTCCGTCTCACATAACTCGGTTCTGCTTGGAAGAACCAGACCAACGTGCGAGCTGACGATGAAGAACGCTCCAGTCTGCATCCTGGTTGGTCAAGAAGAAGCTGGAAGCTACACTCATATTCCACAAAGAATCCCCTCCAGAAAGCTCCCAAGAGGCAGACTGTGAGATGCGTGTCTCCTGCCTGGATGCTGAGACTCACGGGAGGCCACCCCGCCTGTGGCCGGTCCACCTGTGAATCGAAGGGCCAGAGGGCGGCGGGCTCCCCTGGGATCTGCTGAAGCCCATCCCTGTGGAGAGACAGAGCCCACCCAGCGGAAACGAGGTTCCAGAAACCACCCAGCTCGTCCAGTGAAACCCAGCTTCTGACCAGAGTGGCCCCAGCACCCTGAGACTCTCCAGACCGACTGGGACGCACTCATCAAGGCAACCTGCTCTGCCCCGTGGACACCAACCTGACCCCTACCCACCTTTGTGAGAATCCACAGTGTGCATGGATGCTGTGGTTCAAAGGTGAGCTGGATTCTGCCCTGTTGACTAACGGTTCATTTCGCTCCCCACAAGTCCTTTTGAATCTGCTCACCCTCCTCCAAGGTAACACGGGACATCACCAATGAGAACACTGTTCATGCCTCAAAGCGCATCCACTTGCCAGTGTCCCCGGAGCCCAGAGACCTGCACTCTCAGCGAGGCTCTCGCCAGCCTCTGGCTGAGTCCAGGGACCCCTCTCCAAGCCAGGCTTGTCACAAGCAGTACCCACATCCCCCATGAGGGGCCACCCCAAGGAGCAGAGGGGCCTGGGGGACAGAGCTGGGGGATGAGGCCCGGGCGAGCTGGGACCTGCTGCAGGTGTCGCTGGGTGAAGACCGGGGGGCGAGGCCCAGACCTGAGCCCCTCTGAGGGACGAGCGTCCTCAGGGAACAGGGAGGGGCCTGGGGGGCCACTGAAGACGGGAGCCCTGAATGCCTGCACCCGGGTCCTCTTCTCGTCCGTGTTCTACCCCCGCCTCTGCCACAGAAGGAACAGGGCCTTCGCTGCCAGTGGGGTCCTGCTCTCACAGGAGACAGCCGTTCCGAATGCCGCTGCCCCTCGGGGTGAATCCGCACGCGATCCGGAGAGCCCCCCATCACGGACCACAGCCACCGGCGCGGCTGCACCTCCGGCTGCAAGCTGTACAGGGGCCCCTTCCGGGCATCAAGAATGTCCACGGGCGTCCACCAGTGCACACACCGAGGCCTACTGACCGGCCTCACGGACTCGGCCCCTGGCTGCCACTCAAGGACCTTGCCGGGGCCGTGTGCGCCGTGGGGCCGCTCGGTGAAGGGCCCAGCGCCAGGCGGTCTTCGTAGAGAATATGCCGAATGCTCACTCAACAGCCGTTGCCCTTGAACACAAGAGGTGACCTCCGGAGCCTTCCCATCCGTACAACGGGCATGATGGTGACGGCCACCAGGCCGCTGTAAGGACGAAGCACAGTGGCAGATGGACAGCACTGGCACATAAGGGTGACCGAGCAATGGCAGCTGCTATCCCGCCCCTCAGGAGGAGCAGCCTCCCCCTGGGAAAGGGAGCTCAGCAGAGGGAGGCCCCTTCTGGAGATGGTCACTCAGCCTAGGGGTGCTGCCCAGGTGCACTGCTGACGGGGCCGGGGCCCAGCCGGCCCCTCGGGTGAGGCCGTTCTGTGGCCCGGACCCGACTCCTCCTGGTGACGCGAGGGAACCCTGAGCCCCCGCCATGCCCTGGGGGCGCCTCACACTGGCCAGTCTGCAGTGACCCCTGAGGAGGGGATCAGGAGGGACAGACAGAGGCCGCTGGGGGGTTGACATGAGGGGAGAGAACGGGTAGAAACGTAAAATCAGAGCACTTCTGGAGACTGGCACGGGCACTGGCTGTGCGGAGGGGGCACCGGGAACGCAGCCTCCCCTGGAACAAGGCCCACTGGACTTGGAAGACCCCGTCGGGACTGGCAAAACCCAGAGGACCGACACGCCCGAGGACAAGGAGGCTCACGCGGGCCCTGAGGGGCGGAGGAGGCTGCCAGGTCCCTCTGCTAATGGCCAGCACGGCCAGCAGCCACCTGGGTAGACGGACAGTCGCCACGCATGTCTCCCCTGGCCCGAGGGGACGGGGAGCTCGTAACATGTGACTTTGTGGAGGAAAACCACCAAAAGTGGGCACCTGCAAAATTATGAGAACGTCACCCCGAACTAGGCCAGCTGTATTAGCACCGAGCTCAGGGGAGACACGCAGACACGTTACCCACATCATGAACACCGCCTCTCCCAGAAGGAGGTCACTGGAAAGGGATCCGTTCACGGAGGAGCAGCGGAGCCGCGGGTGAATCGGGCTCCGGGAGACCCCTCTCCGGTCTGCCCTGTCGGCAGCCTGCGAGCCCCGGGCTGGCCCCAGGGCCGTGAGCAGAGGGGCTGCTGCAGGAAGGCGAGGGGTGTGGTCACCGGCGCCCCCGGGCGCGGCCGCAGCCTGGCCGGGGTGATCAGTGAAGGGCTGACCAGCCACCGAGAATGCTGGGTGCTGCCTCCCAGGGCCAAAGCAGGGGCAGCTTCCCCACTCACCCCTTTAAATGGTCAAAATGACACTGCCTCCCCAGCTGCATGGGGATTGCACACATATACACACTCACACACCTGTACACTCACACACGCAATGCATACGTATGCATATGCATGCAACGTGCACACAGTCCTACATACATACATGCTCACACACATGCATCCTCTTACATACATGCTCACAGATAGCATACATACTTACATGTATGCATATACAAGCACCCACACGGTCCTACATACGTACATGCTCACACACATGCATACTCCTATGTACACACACTCACACAGAACACACACACCTTCGACCTCCTGCATGAAATGCAGCCTCTGTCCCCACCTCGTCTGTACCCCATTTTCTAGCCTACTCCACTCTCTCCAGCCTCACCTCACCCCACATGCCGAACACCTGATACAACTTCTCTTTGACATTAGACTTCCCTGTGGACTGGAGTGTAGACTCTCTCCCTGGTCCCCACCCCTCCAGGAGAGCATTGGGCAGGCGACTCCAACCCTCTGACCTCTGCCTCGGCACAGCCCTGGAATTCAGTCCAGCACCCCGAGTCAGAACTGGACCTGAAAAGGTCCGGCGGAGGGTCGGGGCAGGAGGCTCCGTGAAGGCCACGCCCGCCCCCGAGCTCTTACCTCGTTGACAAAGACCCAGTGGCTGTCCTTGGAAGCCAGGTTGGTCTCCACGGCCTGCAGAGAGAAGGAGATGACCGTGAACAGAGGCACACACAGGACAACGGCCAGGACGGGCTGGACGAACACTGTTCCGGAGAACGTTTTCCTCGCACAACACGCCGCCCAGGGCCGCCCTGGCGACCAGACAAGTCACCTGCACACAGACGTCTGATTCCCAGCTGGTCGCCAGCCCCTGCGCCAGCCCCAAGCAAGGCTAGACGTTCAAGTTCCCGCAGGGCTCCCGCGAACCCCTTCCCGGGGGCGCGTAGGGCAGGAGGGTCACCCCGGCCCCGGCGACAGGACAGGATCGGAGGAGGGTCACAGCAGCCGGGCTGAGGGGCCCGGGAAGACGGAGCTGCAGCTGAGGCCCTGAGCTGCTTCCTTCTCCCCAGAGCGGCTCCGGCCACCCGGGCAGCAGCCCCGCCGCCATGCTCTCTCTTCGCGCTCCGTTCTGCGTCTTTCCAGCACTTTCCCTCCGTTCATTTCTTTCCTATTGTCTGTCTCCTCCGCACGAGGGGTCCCCAGGAGGTCAGGGCCGGGCTGTTTGTTCTGGGAAACAGCGGCTTTCAGGGCTGCAGAACGTGCAGGAATCGGCAGGTGCGGGCTCACCTGGGCAGGTGGGAGGTGCTCCGCACGTCCTGCAGGGGCAGCAGCACCCAGACCTGACACCCGGGAGAGCAGGGGCGGCCCCGGACACTCAGGAGTCTCCCCACTTGATCTCAGGCCCCACACGGGGAACATCGATGGGGAGACATGATTAGAAAACCCCCCAGGACAACGGGCCAACTTTCCTGGCCTACTTCCCCTCACCAATTAAGCAGCAGCTGATCTGCACCCCCCACCTCCCAGGGAGATGCACAGCCCTTGGCCGCAGTCTTCTCCAGGGGCAGCTCGAGCTGGAGCCGCGATGGGCAGAGAAGCAGCCGGGGCAGGTCCCCCAGAGACGCCCCCTCCCGTGGGCGTGTCCCCCCAGCACCAACCCCCTCTCCTGAGCCCCTTCCCTCCCCAGCTCGAGGCAGGGCCATGGCTCCCCCTTCCTCTCAGACGGAGCGACGGAGCGACGGAGGGGGAGGCTCCCCAAATCCCAGGCTGCCTATTGCTTAGCCGAGTGCTCCTGAGTGAGCCATTCCGCCTCTCGCGGTGGTAATTCCCGCCTGAGAAATGCCAGCCATGCTCAGAGCTGTGCCCCGCCCGCCCAGTCCCCCTGGGCCCCAGCGGCACCCCGGAGGCAGACGCCACGGTCCAGGCAGCCGAACCGCTCGACACCCGTGGGCCCTGGAAAGGTACCGTCCTAACCGCGCCCCGAGCGGGCCACACACACATCCCAGCGGCCCTGTTGCCCACGGGGCCTGCTCTGCACGAGAGCTTAGCTGTTTCCAGAACCTTCTGTCACACGGGCCGAACTGGTCCACTGGACCCCTCCCTCCCTGGCTTCCTTCCCTCCCTGCTGACACTTCTTAGTAAACCACTGTTCAAATCCTTGCCTCAGAACCGGCTTCTGCCACCGCACCTGAGACAGACAAACACCTGAGACAAACACCTGCCACGGGGCCGCAGGAGAACATGAGAGGTGAGGGGGGAGGCGTCCAGCCAGGAAGCTCAGGGGGTGACCGGTGAGAGCAAAGGGCTGTCCCCTCCCTCCCCTCCCGCCGGGTGGACTGGGACGGCCCTCGGAATGGGCAGAGGTGCGCAATCTCTCCCATGCTCCTCCCCGCACGCCAGCAGCGCCGTCTGAGCGGGGCCTGCCCTCACGGAGCCGGTGGGCACGGTGACTGCGTGGGCACCCACGGCAAGTGCGGTGAGCACGGTCTCCTCGGGGAGTCCAGAGGCCCTTCAAGGCGGCACCACCTGGGCCTATCTCAGCTCGTGGGGTTCGACGGCAGAACCCCAGCATCGGCCCAAGGGGAAGTGCGGAGCCCGCCAAACAGCAGCCCCTTGCTGCCTGGGCTGGGAGCGGGGTGTGAGCCGCCGGTGGTCTGCTGGGCCCCCGCAGCGGGAGGGCCGGCTCCCTACACGCAGCTGTCTCCGGGCGCTGGGCACCCTGGCGGTGGCACGACCCTCACGATAACTCGGCGGCAGCCGCGGAGGCCGAGTGACCGCGCAGGCTCCACACAGAGGCGTGGAGTCCAGGAGCAAAGTCTCTCGGACCCCGCGTGACCTCCGCAGGGGCGCAGCAGGGCGGCCCCGGTCAGTTGTCGCTGTGAGTCCCTCAAGCCCTTGCCCAGCCTCCGGAGCCCATCAGCCGGGCTCCTGTGACAAACACGGACGCTAAAGGCAGAGCTGGGGCCTGGGAACGTCCCGGTGATCATGCCGACTCCTGCCGCAGCCCCGTCTGAACACGGGGACCCCACATGCTTCGGTGAGGCAGCCCGAGGGGCATGGACACAGGAGCCCGCGGGGCCCTCACCTGCGGGGCAGAGCGGATGTCTCCACATTCCCGCCACCCACGAGCCGCCCTCTTGCAAGGAAGACCTGCCGTCTCGTGGGAACACGTCAGGGAAGCAGAGGGGCTGCCCTCCCCACGCCTGGGGAGGGCATGTGTCCCTTGTCTGTGAACAGCACCCTATGTGAACCTCAGCGGGCGTCTTCCCGAGGCCGGTGGCATCGAGAGCGTCGAGTTCAGGTGACACAGGACTCCAGCACGCCATCCGGCAGGCACACTGGTGGCCGGAGGGCATTTGCATCCTGTCCTGGCCCCCAGGACCCTGAGCTCATGGTTTCTACAGGAAAATAAATGCAGACCAAGCCCCGGCTCCTGGCTCCCACACCGCCGGACGAGAGCAGAGCCGCGCCGATGGGTGTGTATGGGCCAGCTGTCCTGGACGGCACCAGGGAGGGCCGGCACCGGCCCCTGAGCGCACGGATGGCCGAGGGCCAGTTCTGACGTCCGGACACCTGAGCAGAGGCGAAGAGGACACAGCTCGGAGGGGCTGGGGAGCACGTGCCCCTCCCGTTCTCAGCCTTCACCAGAACCAGCCTCCCAGAGGCGCCGGGAGGGAGCCCGCGCTTGTCGACACCAGGCCAGAAGCCGGCACAGTTCTGCTCCCCCCGCCAGCCACCTACGCCACCACTCCCGCCACCCAGGAGCCTGGCCCAGGAGCACGCGACCCCGCAGACCGGGAGCTGAGACCCAGAGGCCGGTGTTGGGCTCAGGCCCGCAGCCAGCCCTGGGCGGAGGCCGGACAACGCTGCGTCTTCTCCTTCAGTCACGCCCGGTGCCCCAAGCCATGAACGACCTTCAGCTACGTGTCATCGTAAGCCGAGACCTTTATTCCGCTCGTGTGTCCTGTGTGCGGCTCCACGTGGGCCTCAGGAATCGTAAGTGGGCGGGAAGCCTTCCAGCCACCGTGCCGAGGATTCATTCACAAAGGCAAATGCCACCGATCACGCACGTGTCCATCACTGGCCACTCATCTCGGCCTGATCGAGGAGTCCGCGATAATCAAAGCTTGTCAACAATTCGCATCTCTAGAACCAGCTCGAACACGGCGGAACTCTCCCTGCAGAGCCCCCCTGGGCCGCAGGGTTCCAGTCGGGTCTCAAACAGCTGCACCGTGTTGCAAAGGCAGCCGAGGGTCTTGAACTTGGCTCCACTTCTGTCCCTGGATGAGGGAGTGCAACACCCCCCAATCTGCAAGGACGGGACCAGCGGGCTGTAAGGCCACGGCTGACTTGAACGCCCCTCACGCTTCAGAGGGGTGACCACGCTCGGGAGCAATTGTCCCTAAATAGCATGTTGTTGCAAAGACACAGCAGGTCGTAAACTTAGCTCCACCTCTGTCCTGGGGAAAATGGAGTGTTCTTCACTTGATGTTTTTTCTTTGACACTGGCTTTGATCTCGGAAAAAAAAAACTGTGATGTTGCCATTGAAGAAGGAGAGCAGGACCGAGGAAGCATCTGATGGGTCTGAACAATTTCTAGTCACTAATTAGAGCTCCCTGGCCTTCGACCCCACTGTTTACCGACGCGGAGGCAGACGGCTCTCCCGGGCGGCCTCCCCACTTCGCGCGAGGGCAGGGGCGCCGGCACCGGCCTCTGGGGACGCAGACTCATTAAGGATCACTGTGGACCCTCGGAGGGGCGCCGCAGGTCCCGGCACCGCGCAGGAGGCGCGTCCACTGTAATAAAAGCGAGAATCTGCGCGGCGCGGACGGTTTGTGAAGATGCGTGAATACCAGCAGGAAGATGAGCCGAGTCGGCTCTCAGGCACGATCCGCTGAATGAGATCAACCCCGGAAGTGAAGTGACTCTGGCAGTGGTATCGCCTGCCGGACACCAGGATTTTAACCAGCCGTCCTGCCCCCTGCGCAGGGGCCCGGGGGGGGCCTCCAGGGGCTCCCTGGCACAGACACCGCGGCGTCCCGACCGAAGGCCCGGGACGGCTTCTCTACCCCTCAGTGTTCCCGCCCCTGGCCCTGCGGCCGCTGCCACCCGATCCCTTCGGGGCCTGAGACGTACAGAACAACAAGTCTCTTCGGAGCTCATCTACGCCCCTCTCCGCGGCGAGAGCAGGCCGAGCCTTCCCGCGACACGGTCCTCCAGGGGCCGGACACGGCTCTGGACGGCAGGCGGCTCGCTGGGCCCTTTCTCAAACCCTCTGCTGCGCAGCCGCAGCGTCATTTGATTTTCAGACGTGAGCAGGGCCAAGTCCAGAACTGATTAGAAATGTTTCCTTACCCTCCCCGCTGGTACCCACATGTGTATGCGCAGCCTGGGAAGGCCTGGCCTGTGCCCAGACTGGTCTGGGACCCACAGCATCAGCACCGCGGAAGGAGGGGCTGCCGCTCGGGGTCACACGAGGCTCCACTGGCCGTCCACCCGTGGCCGTCGCCCCAGAGACCCGGACCCACGGTGCGTGCCCAGCGAACCACCACACTGCCCGGCTGTTCAGGGAAAACACCCGCGTTCGGGTCACCAGGACCAGGCAAGCCGCCTCTGCACGGGATCTGACTCCTGCCGCCGACCCAAATTGTTTTTAAAAGATGGAAGCGTTTGGAGTCTTTTCCAGGCAATA